CAAGAAGACGCAAAGATGGCTTGCTACGCGTTCCGCAAAGGGAGCGTCTTATGATGTTAAATTGGACCGAAGCACAGAGTCCCAGCACAGAGCGTCCCGAAAGTCTGTGTGTGTGCGCGTGTTTTCGGGTCCACAGAGGAACTTCTCGACAGCCATGAGTAAATGTCTGACAATTATGACCCCATTCATTTCATGTAAGTCTCGTATTTCCTGAGAGGCGCAGTAAATAGGTGTGCGAAATAGCCACTGAAGATGGCATTGTGTGAACAGGCATCTACAACAACATGGTCACTGCAGTGCATTTTGGGGTAAGTATCTCTACCAGTTTGTTGGCCGCCCGCCTTATGGTGATATTTTGATAACCTAAATGGTATCTTCCTCTCATTTCGGGACGTCAATGGCCAAATGAGTACTCCTTACGAAGAAGATCATGCGCCTCTCAGGAGGACATATGTACCCTTCAAAACGACCATTATATCTCAGCATTTCATGACGTCCAGTTTGAGCTTTTTTCCGGTGCAGATGGATGGGTGTGCTCCGGCATCGTGTTCTCCCAGCCGTATGTTAGTCGTGTACGTTAATTAAGTTTGTTTGGTTGTCCGCTATGATCGACTTAGGCTCCATGTGGCTGGTTGGTTAGGCATCGTGTACCTATAGCCGTATTTTAGTCGTGTGCGTCAGTTAGGTTCGTTCAGCTGTCTGCTATGATCGACGTTGGTCCCATGTTGCTGATCGATAAACCTCTGGGTCTTCCTAGCATAGTTTGCAGCCTTTAATGTAAAAATCTGCTTTATCCCAGCAAACGTGCAGGATCCTTAGTAAATAATGAACGTAGGCTACGGAATTTTAACTGGCAGCACGAATCATCGACCGAAATTTGTTGCACAGGTGGTTAAAGCCATAATACAACTTAGAAGGTATATACACTAACGACAATATTTACTGTGATTGATAGTAGTTTACAGAAGCGATTTGCAGCATATACTAAATAGAGGCAATATAAAATGTGGAGCAAGCCAAAGAGGAACTTGTCGTATATGAGAATCCTTTGGTGAAAATCCGGACTGCGGGAATGTGTTTTCTTCGCAATATAGCTGCTACACGTGTTCCATAACTGTCCATGTACATGGTGTGTTTGGCTGAATCCTTGCTTTGGTGCGCGCGCGAGTCCATGAGTGTTGACTGTGTTGTTTTTTCCTGCATATAGGAAAGTTTGACGTGTGTATAAAACATGAATAGTTTGGATGCGTACAAGACAGGAACTGACATGTTTTCGGTCAAAGTCGCGGGCGGGACGGCGTTTGTCACGTGATTTGTGTGCCTGTGTAGTAGGCAAGTCGCGTGAACTAGTAAACACGCATGTACTAGACAAATTAAGTGAAGTTGGTTGAGGGGACATGGAAATGTCCGCTACAATTGCACCTTCACATGTTTTGCGTCTCAAAGGGCCACATAGGTTCTAGAGAAATCAGGGAATCGTTTTGGGGTGCAAAACCATCCGAAAGTTTCGTCCATTAAAAGTAAGTCAACGTTTTCCTTAATTCGCGATTTTCTTATTACATCAGGCAACGTATTCACAACCGGTGGTGCCTATTGACCTTGAGGATATGCTCACTTAAACAAATCGCCATAGTAGATGATTTCCAATAATACAGAAGCATGTGTTATACATAGGCAATCTACATGTGAGGTGACAAGCCTGAAAATAGTGTAGCTTTCGAGAAATCAATCCCAATGTACGAATACTGAGCGGCACACATGACGGCTTGAATACCGAATATGTGTTCAGGTGTTTCGATGATTGCTATCCCGAGTTAACATCGAGGATATTTCACTCGTTATTGCCGGATAAATCATGCCAAGTTAGAAGAACTTAGGGTCTATAGATGGCAATGACCTGTGCAGGTTTTTTGGTAAACGGCGAGGTACTCCATTATACCTTGCAAAATATGCCAGGACGGCCATGACGTCGATCATAGCGAACAGTTGAAGGAACCTAGCTGGGGCACTGACTAACATGCGGCAGGGGTTCCACGAGGTCTGATCAACTAGCCACATGGAAACCACGTCGATCAAAGTGGACAGCTTGTATCTACAGGCCGGATAATAGATGCTTTGAAAGATTTTCTCAAAACGGTTTGTCGCGCTTGCTCCGTCGCCATTTATTAAATATGCGATGCGTAAAAAACACCATCTTCAGCCACCTGCTGGGGCATATGTGGCTATAGTGACCTTTCACTGGCTGCAACATAAGCGCGCGTCCGGTCTCCCGGAGTTTGGACAGGAACGAAGAAATATCATCTGCCACAATAAAACCTAACTATGCAGCACCTACTCAACAGAGCTGGCTGACATTTCCGGCCAATAAATGCCGCACTTCACACGACGGCGTTCCACATTTCTGCAAGGCTCTGCAGGTGCCCTCGGTTAGCAATCGATTTACCGGCAGCCAATCGTACAAAAACTTAGAAATCTCGCGGTTTCGTTCCAGACAATAGGAGGTGGCCGACAGAGGCCGGATAAAGATGCTTTGAAAGATTTTCTCAAAACGGTTTGTCGCGCTTGCTCCGTCGCCATTTATTAAATATGCGATGCGTAAAAAACACCATCTTCAGCCACCTGCTGGGGCATATGTGGCTATAGTGACCTTTCACTGGCTGCAACATAAGCGCGCGTCCGGTCTCCCGGAGTTTGGACAGGAACGAAGAAATATCATCTGCCACAATAAAACCTAACTATGCAGCACCTACTCAACAGAGCTGGCTGACATTTCCGGCCAATAAATGCCGCACTTCACACGACGGCGTTCCACATTTCTGCAAGGCTCTGCAGGTGCCCTCGGTTAGCAATCGATTTACCGGCAGCCAATCGTACAAAAACTTAGAAATCTCGCGGTTTCGTTCCAGACAATAGGAGGTGGCCGACAGATGGTTTTCCTGCTCCCTTAGGCAAAAACGCACTAGGTAGCCTATGCTCCGCGTACCGTTGGGTAATGGCAAATACGCTTAGCCTACTAGCTTTTTTGGATCCATCGATTTTTTGTTCGTCCTGCTGGCCCTCTTCGGCGTTTATAGTATACATTTTCGTAACGTAAAGCAGCGTCGGTACTTTAATTACCGGATGTATTCATATATTCATGTATTCATTTTACGTCTTCTCAAACGCCATAAGGGTTGAAAGGTACATGGCTCCCAATTTAAAAACACAGATAAAACCACTTCCGGAGCCATATCAGAGCGATTTCAAAGCCCAATGTGCGCCAAAATTTCAAATCAAACGGCGACAAAATGGGAGTAGAGCGAGGTTATTTTTGGTTTGAGCAAATATGCAACGAAATGCAGCATTTTGACGTAAATTTTTTATTCCGCTCGCAGATATCTTGCGGATAGAATCTTTTTCGGTCCACCGTGCGTTGTTTCTGTTTAAATAACTTTGGTTTACTTCTGGCGCACGGAGCGATTTTCATTCTTAGCTTACCAGAACAGAACGTACTGGTCCGTCCACACTTCCGGCAAATAGCTGCTCGGTTTGACTCAGGATCTGTACGTAGGCTGATATTCTACCCCAGTCGGGTTTGTGATATGCTCTTGGCCCTAGCAACGTGTAACTGAGATGGGTGAAGTGTTTCGGCTGCGGATTTTGCATATCAACGGGATTCGATTTCGGTGAACGTTGGTCGTTTTACCGTTTGGTAATACAGAACAAAGAAGCTTGATGTCATTCGAAATGGTAAATGGCGGTTTTCATATTGATCCAACGGACTGCAGTTCTGATTCTGAGACAGATGCTTTTTGTCGAGGCTTATCCGGCCTCAATAATCGAAAGAACACTAACATTGTGATCCTTGCAGCGCATAAAAATACCAAATTGCGTCGTTTGTATTCCTTGGAATAGCTTCTGAACAGTCAATCCTGAGGCAATACTTGTCACCTGAACAGCGACGGGATACTATTCCAGTTGTCCCGAATATTACGTTTTTACGTAGTACAGGCGTTCATCGTGAACGTAGGAATCGCAAACCCTGGTGGCCACAGAGTTGAAAATAATCGTAGGCCCTATTGGATAACGTGGCTGCACACTTTCGGTGAACAGTGCTGGTGCCCACAACTTGATTTTGATCATGATATAGTGTGAGTGTGCAAGAGAGCTCTCTTCGTTCTAGTCCTTCGCAAGTCTAGAAGAAACAATGTTCAACGGTTTTGCTCAGTATTATTGACCTGAGTCAGCTTTATGGCTCTCTGTGGTCAACCAACAATGTACGGTTGGTGAACACGAATGGAAGCATGGCAAAATGAAAATGGGGCTGTGCTAGCGGGATTCGTTGCTGCCGTCTCGAATTCTCCGATGTCATCAACTGACCACATGGTATCGTTGGGACCACTAGTCCTGACTAACGCTGGAAAATCCATATCAGCCTCAAAGGGCGTGGCGGCGCACAAAGATTTCTCAACACCAAATAGTGAAATGCCTAAAGAAAGACTCAGGGTTTTGGTAAATATCGAAATCTGAAGAAATAAAAAAGTCTTTTGCTACCGGAACCAGTCGTGTTGTTTACCAATCAATATAATGGATTGGCCATGGGGAGCGATGTAAAATAGGTGGGTCAGCAATTCACTCGCCATAAACCAAATAGAGTTGGTCCGAACGCTTCAGAAAACACTGGCTGGCATCCACAAACACACCCTCTACAGATGTTGCATACTGGCGAATGAAATGTCAGCCATACGTTCCCATCAGTAGAAGAATAAAGTATGAAATAGCCTTATTGAGACGTGAGATGGTACCAGCACTTGACGATCTCTATCCAGCCTTCTTCAAGGAAGGCTAAGGGGACCTCGTGTCTCATTGATGCATTATGGGCTAAAAAGAAACTGCAGGTTGGGGTTTCCCGACAGTCACCCCTATTTTCATGAAGGATATAGATGCTCTGTGAAAATCACCGGGACACAAGGCTTATAGCTATGACATCAAAGGCGCTCTCCGACCTCATACTCTGAAGGTTAACTGAACACAGAGAGAGGCAGATCCATAAAAAAGCTTGGTTTTGTCCTGTCATAGAACGCACTTATCATATTTTTAGCCTCCAACCACTGTTGAATAGCAACAATGCTTTCAGCAACCAACAAAATGGGTCTTCTTCAGGATTGCGGGCACTGTCAGTGTCCATGTAGGAGGGGTGCCCCAAATAAATTA